GGACATGGCAAAGGCGATGGGGTGACCCACATGATCACATTACAGAACACTGTGGCTTCTGTCTTGCCAGTGGACTCTGCTTTGATGAGAAATGGTTGTGGTGGACAAGGGGAAACAAATCAGTGACAAATGTAAAGATGTAAACTTAGATGGGAAATGGCGATGCTATTAAGAGAAGTCAGAAGAAGCAGCTAGACTATTGTCTTCACAGGTTGTGCAGCAGAATAGTAATACGTAACCTGATTTTGTTGATATTAGTAACTAGAATGTCTAGTCTATCAGAAATGCTTAATAACATTTATGAAGGAAGCCAGAGCTAGAGATAAATATACAGAAATCATCTGAAAAAGAAAAATCATGGAAACCAAGGACTTCGAGTATTTTCAATGATAGCAAGGCCTAAGTAATTGGCTGGGGCAAAATGGAATTGAAGTTTTTAAGGGACTTTGAAGCCAAGGTGTTATAAGGGTCATAAACATTATTCTCATCTTAAATAATAAGAGAAAAATAAAGGAGAACTACAGGAGCTAGATGCTAAAGTTATCAAGGAAAGCAGCCAAGTACCCTAAACTTAGAGACAAAGCAAAAAAGGAAAAAGGTGAGGTAGAAATAAAATCACAGTACATTAACTAGAGAGGTGCGCATCTAGTTCAGTCTCCATCTCATCTTGAACACTCTAAGCGGTATCACCAGAGTGGCCCTTCCAACACTCTAGCCTAAGGTCTCTTTGATCTCCTTCAACAGGCTTGGAATCAAGAGGTCTAGACAGTGCTTAAAACTATGATTACAAATGAAAGAATCTTTCTTATTGCCCTCAAGGTTCATGTAATTATAAAAAAACCCTAAAAAAGAAATGTTAAATATCCTTTAAAACTAAACCTAAGTAAGGGTTTTAAGTAATCATTATGTGTCAAGTATCCTAAGAGGATAAGGATTAACTGTTCCTAAGATAAACAGTGAACATGTGAACGTTTTTTTTTAGAAACCTAGTTCTAATTTAAATCTGTGATCATCAACCCTAATGCCTGAAAAATCAGAATGCCAGGTAAGAAACTTTACAACTCAACTTCTTTAATGTCTTACCTCAGAAGCAGTAGCAGCAATACTAACATTGCTTGCCTGCCCGTTCATTAGGTCCATGCTTCCCACATCAGTCCCTGACACTGTTAGCAGTAACAGAAGGCTAACTGCTTCATGTCCAAGGCCACAAATACATTGTTAATCCTGTAAAAAATAAACAGCAAAATTTTAATGTATGTCTTATTGGAATTTAAGAAAACAAATCCATGCCTATCACAAGCCAAGAAATAAAATACTTTAACTTCACTCAACTCTATTTTTTATTTAAGTCACTAAATCCAGTTTGAAGACAATCCTATAAGCTTTTCTCAAATGCTCAGAAACACCAAATGGACAATGTTCAATACATATCATTATGTTCTTCATAAGCAAAGCAAAAGCATAATTTTCCACTTATTGTGAGAAAAATTAAAAATTTTTTAGTTTTAAGTAATAAAAAGTGTAAAAAAAAGTGGCAAAATACACATGCCACAACAAAATTAATTTCTGGAGACCTAAATGACATCTCTAAAAATACTGAATGAATTTGCCACTGCTTATGGATCTAGTTTACAAAGATATCACAAATAACTTAAAATAAAACATTATGGAACATGTCATAAATATACCACAATATATAATATATTAATTTGTATAGGATTTTAAAGTTTATTATCTTCAATCCATTATCTCACTGATCTTCTCAACTACCAGTAAGACTTGATTATGGAAGACAGTATTAGAACACAAAGAAACAGAGCCTTTGAGGACACAGGCTATTAAATGAGGAGCCAAGAATAAAATTCAGGCCATCTAAACCTACTCAAATATTCTTTATACAAAATCCTATTTCTTTTGACTTTACTGGATGTCAGAATATTTACTTGACGTTCTAATCCCTTTTCACAAATAGCTTACCATACAGCACTGTTGGTAACTTCACATATCTAGGACAGAATTTCTACCCCTTTTGTAAAATGACAGAGAAAACAGATTTTAAGGCCCCTTTTCAACTTTAAATTTCAATTATGTTTTTCATAAGAATGATGATGTATCCATAAATGAGATACTTAAAGCTACACTGACTTTAAAAACTGAGTTCAAAATATCAGTAATTCTCTCAATTAGTTTCCTCTCTAAAGAAGCAATATAGGATAGTGATTTAAAAGTAGACTCTAGAACAAGACTAAGTTTGAACCCAGCAAACTTAGCTTTTCTGTACTCAATGTCCTCATCCATAAGACATAACAGTTAAGTACCTATTTCACAGAGTTGTGAGGAGAAACAAATTAATATATGCACAGCACCAGACACAGTGCTGACGCATGCTAAAGGTTACCATACAGATTTTACCTACTCTCTACTTAATCCACACAAAATTCAAGTTCAATGGAGTCTTCTAATTAAAGACAAAAACCTTAGAAACACATCTCTAGTACAATTCACACTGAGAGGCACCACCAAAATCCTAATTGCAAACACATTAATGAGGATGCCTAAAATCTGTTTCCTAGAGGCTCCTGGTTTCCATGTGCTTAAGAATCACTAGTTATGGTAGCAGCCTAATAGTCACATCTTAAACTTATCTTCATTTCTTCAGATGCATCCTGAATACCTGCTAAGAACAAAACATTGTGCTAGAATTCTTTCAATGAGAAATAATGGGTTTAAAAAACCATGTAGAACCCATTTAGAGAATCAGTGTGAAAATGAACAGAGTCAGATCCATTTTATTCATTCATAAATGTATCACATTTTTGAGAAATTTGCACTGTGGTATGTTAATAGATTTATATTTTAAGAGAAAGTGGAAAGTATGTGTTTTTAATTTTATTTTCTTGCCACTGCAGTAGACAGTTGAAAAAGCAGACTTTCCCCCTTTATTTCTCATAAACTAAATTACATGACTCCGAGGCCTGATGTAATTCATTTACTTTTAGGAAAGTCAACAGGCCTTTTTATGCAAGTGAAATGACCTATTTTATTCAACAAATAACTGTGTAGTGTTTCCTATAAACACTAGACCGAATGTTTCAGGACATATAGTAAAAAATATACACATGTATTCAAGAAATATGGCTGTAAATATATCAACTGAAAATATACATAATTCAAACATACAAATATAAAATCCCTATCTCAAGGAGGAAGAAAAGCTGTGGAAAAAAATTAAATGTTAGTTTTAAAGTGATAGTTTTTTTTTTAAGTGATAGTTTTAAAATAGAAAGCTCCTGTCCTGTTTAAGGGATCAAGAAAAGACTTGCCTAGAAGTATAGCATTTGAAATAGGTTTTGAAAGATAGACAAAATGTCATTTTGTGCAGTGAGAGGGTGGGGCACACTGGAAGTAGAAGAGAAAGTCCAGGTACAAAAAGATGTAGCAGAAGGGAACAAATATCAACAAGATGTAGTATTCTTTCATCAGAATGTAAATGTGAAGTAGAGAATTAGTGGCAGTTAAATGCATTAGCAAGAAAATGTAGGGCCACCAAGGGAAAGTTTTGAGTGCACATCGTTGTATTTAATATAGGCAATGAGGAACCATCACAGGAATACAGTAAAGTTTAACAGCTGTATTTTAAGAATATTAAAACTGAATTTAGACAGAAGGATCAAAAACAGCAGAAAACAGAAATGCCAAGATCAAACTAAAAGGCTGCTTCAATAATCTAGACAATAAATTACCAAACTAAGATGGTATTCGTAGAAATAAGGAGAAAAGGACTGGATCCTGGAGATGACGTGAGATGGGCAGACTCTAGGATGGCTCCAAGGAGCTCTGCCTCTTGGTAGTCAGGGCCTGGGGTAATCCTCTCCACCAAAGCATGGGCAGGACCTGTGACCTGTTTCTAACCAACAGGACATGGCAAAGGCGATGGGGTGACCCACATGATCACATTACAGAACACTGTGGCTTCTGTCTTGCCAGTGGACTCTGCTTTGATGAGAAATGGTTGTGGTGGACAAGGGGAAACAAATCAGTGACAAATGTAAAGATGTAAACTTAGATGGGAAATGGCGATGCTATTAAGAGAAGTCAGAAGAAGCAGCTAGACTATTGTCTTCACAGGTTGTGCAGCAGAATAGTAATACGTAACCTGATTTTGTTGATATTAGTAACTAGAATGTCTAGTCTATCAGAAATGCTTAATAACATTTATGAAGGAAGCCAGAGCTAGAGATAAATATACAGAAATCATCTGCAAAAGAAAAATCATGGAAACCAAGGACTTCGAGTATTTTCAATGATAGCAAGGCCTAAGTAATTGGCTGGGGCAAAATGGAATTGAAGTTTTTAAGGGACTTTGAAGCCAAGGTGTTATAAGGGTCATAAACATTATTCTCATCTTAAATAATAAGAGAAAAATAAAGGAGAACTACAGGAGCTAGATGCTAAAGTTATCAAGGAAAGCAGCCAAGTACCCTAAACTTAGAGACAAAGCAAAAAAGGAAAAAGGTGAGGTAGAAATAAAATCACAGTACATTAACTAGAGAGGTGCGCATCTAGTTCAGTCTCCATCTCATCTTGAACACTCTAAGCGGTATCACCAGAGTGGCCCTTCCAACACTCTAGCCTAAGGTCTCTTTGATCTCCTTCAACAGGCTTGGAATCAAGAGGTCTAGACAGTGCTTAAAACTATGATTACAAATGAAAGAATCTTTCTTATTGCCCTCAAGGTTCATGTAATTATAAAAAAACCCTAAAAAAGAAATGTTAAATATCCTTTAAAACTAAACCTAAGTAAGGGTTTTAAGTAATCATTATGTGTCAAGTATCCTAAGAGGATAAGGATTAACTGTTCCTAAGATAAACAGTGAACATGTGAACGTTTTTTTTTAGAAACCTAGTTCTAATTTAAATCTGTGATCATCAACCCTAATGCCTGAAAAATCAGAATGCCAGGTAAGAAACTTTACAACTCAACTTCTTTAATGTCTTACCTCAGAAGCAGTAGCAGCAATACTAACATTGCTTGCCTGCCCGTTCATTAGGTCCATGCTTCCCACATCAGTCCCTGACACTGTTAGCAGTAACAGAAGGCTAACTGCTTCATGTCCAAGGCCACAAATACATTGTTAATCCTGTAAAAAATAAACAGCAAAATTTTAATGTATGTCTTATTGGAATTTAAGAAAACAAATCCATGCCTATCACAAGCCAAGAAATAAAATACTTTAACTTCACTCAACTCTATTTTTTATTTAAGTCACCAAATCCAGTTTGAAGACAATCCTATAAGCTTTTCTCAAATGCTCAGAAACACCAAATGGACAATGTTCAATACATATCATTATGTTCTTCATAAGCAAAGCAAAAGCATAATTTTCCACTTATTGTGAGAAAAATTAAAAATTTTTTAGTTTTAAGTAATAAAAAGTGTAAAAAAAAGTGGCAAAATACACATGCCACAACAAAATTAATTTCTGGAGACCTAAATGACATCTCTAAAAATACTGAATGAATTTGCCACTGCTTATGGATCTAGTTTACAAAGATATCACAAATAACTTAAAATAAAACATTATGGAACATGTCATAAATATACCACAATATATAATATATTAATTTGTATAGGATTTTAAAGTTTATTATCTTCAATCCATTATCTCACTGATCTTCTCAACTACCAGTAAGACTTGATTATGGAAGACAGTATTAGAACACAAAGAAACAGAGCCTTTGAGGACACAGGCTATTAAATGAGGAGCCAAGAATAAAATTCAGGCCATCTAAACCTACTCAAATATTCTTTATACAAAATCCTATTTCTTTTGACTTTACTGGATGTCAGAATATTTACTTGACGTTCTAATCCCTTTTCACAAATAGCTTACCATACAGCACTGTTGGTAACTTCACATATCTAGGACAGAATTTCTACCCCTTTTGTAAAATGACAGAGAAAACAGATTTTAAGGCCCCTTTTCAACTTTAAATTTCAATTATGTTTTTCATAAGAATAATGATGTATCCATAAATGAGATACTTAAAGCTACACTGACTTTAAAAACTGAGTTCAAAATATCAGTAATTCTCTCAATTAGTTTCCTCTCTAAAGAAGCAATATAGGATAGTGATTTAAAAGTAGACTCTAGAACAAGACTAAGTTTGAACCCAGCAAACTTAGCTTTTCTGTACTCAATGTCCTCATCCATAAGACATAACAGTTAAGTACCTATTTCACAGAGTTGTGAGGAGAAACAAATTAATATATGCACAGCACCAGACACAGTGCTGACGCATGCTAAAGGTTACCATACAGATTTTACCTACTCTCTACTTAATCCACACAAAATTCAAGTTCAATGGAGTCTTCTAATTAAAGACAAAAACCTTAGAAACACATCTCTAGTACAATTCACACTGAGAGGCACCACCAAAATCCTAATTGCAAACACATTAATGAGGATGCCTAAAATCTGTTTCCTAGAGGCTCCTGGTTTCCATGTGCTTAAGAATCACTAGTTATGGTAGCAGCCTAATAGTCACATCTTCAACTTATCTTCATTTCTTCAGATGCATCCTGAATACCTGCTAAGAACAAAACATTGTGCTAGAATTCTTTCAATGAGAAATAATGGGTTTAAAAAACCATGTAGAACCCATTTAGAGAATCAGTGTGAAAATGAACAGAGCACAGAAATACTTTAATTTCCTCCCATCCACAGTATCTCATTTTATAAGCTTCATTATTAAGGATCAACTTCTATTTACACTGCTATACAAAATGAGTTTGATAAATCAAATCCTCTCTGAAGGCAATACTTAGTTTGCAATGAATGTTTTCAAATAATTTCATTTCACACTCTAAGCATAGAGATTTAGATGTGATTCATATATCAAGAGTGCCCCCTAGTGTTAAATTTTTTTAAATTAAATTGTTAAATGTATCCTTAATCTACTTTATATATCAAATATATAAATTTTATTACTCTCATCTGTTGAAAAATAGGTAGTCCAAAACAGGAATAAACTAACACATCTGTAAACTATAATAGTAAATAATCAAGTTTTCTCTGCCTGCTTTTAATTAAAATGCTATTTAAATATTCCATGAAAATTAAAGTCATATTAAAACCTATTATGTATTAAGAAAAAAAGCAGAGCAAAACATATCTTAAAGAAAATCTAATTCATAACGGTTTACAAATGTACTGCATGTCGGTAGAATTTAGTACTGTCAAATACAACAAAGCCTCATAGGATACCATGAAAACACTTTAAGTACTTAAAGACAGAGACAAAGGTTTACTTTTTCAGTGTACGCCTCAAGATCTTTCCTGTGCTTTGCACAAGGAGTTCAAATTAAGCAAGACAAATACATGCATTAATATTACTTACTTTTCCTAGCGCTATGAATTAATGGCACAATCATTCATAATGACCACCAACATTACAAGTGCTTTTCTTAATTCATTATTTCCTACTCATTCTCTTGTAAAACTTCTAAAGACAGTTAGTCTGACTGTCTTTTGGAGTTTAAATTCTAAAACAGGCATATTGCTCCTTTCTAAGAAATATAATCCCCAAATAGGAAATCTGAAACGTGTAAATTTAGTTCCTTGCTTGAGGTCACAGAACTGGATTACTCAACTGCAGGCACAATCATTCAGCCTCCTTTTTAACTACCTAACCTTGATCTCAATGGTATTCCTACCAAGAAACCAATGCTTTTAAAATAAATGAACAAAGCATTAAAGTGACCAATTATCACTAACTAATTTCAATTCACAATACCAATTACATATTCTTTCCTAAAATAGTTTATGCTACCATCATTAGAAACATTATGCAAAAGACATTTAACAGTTTTACAAAACTTACTCCAGAAGAGTTAAGCAAGTCTAAGGAAAACGGTAGTGAAATGCAATTAATTAGTGCAATTTCTTTGGAAATATTCAGATAATACAAAACTGGTATTAGCTTAAAATCTCAGTCCTGGAAATCAGTTTTATCAAAACTCTGGAGCAAAAGAAAAAACTGTATAGATAAAGCTCTTCAATCAAGCAGTATTTACAACAGTGAAAAACAGAAGCAACTCTGATGCTTTGTATATAACCACATGCAAACATTCAAATGGACAATTTTAAGATAGAAACAGGAAAACAGAAGCAACAGGTTCAACAACAGAAACTGAAAACTTTTGTTATAATATTCTAAGGAGTTTCATGAGAAAAAAAATGTAACAGGGTAAAATTAGAATGCCGTAATTGCAATTCAGTATTTAAAAATTACAGAGTCTGCCTTCCTTTAAAATTTATTTTAAAGTAAATATTAAAGAAACATTTTATATGACACTCATGGAAGACACAAAGATTTAAATAGCTCATGTATCACTGCAGAGAAAGATAAATACCCTATGATTTCACTTACATGTGGAATCTAAAAAAAAATAAAACAAAACAGAAATACATTCATAAACATGGAGAACTGATGACTATCATAAGAGAAGGGCGGTGGGGGAGATAGGTTAAATAAGAAAAGGGGATAAAGAGGTACAAACTTCTAATTACAATATAAGCAAGTCATAGGGATGAAAGTACAGGATAGGGAATATAGCCAATAATACTGTAATAACTTTGTACAGTGACAAAGGGCAATTGCACTTATGGTGAGCATTTTGCAATGTAAAAAACTGTCAAATCACTATACTCTACACCTGAAACTAACATATGTCAACTATACTTCAATAAAAAAAGTAAGTATAAGAAGAAAAAATAATCAATACAAAGAGTATTATACATATTTAAAAGAATATAGTGAGGATTACTATTTTCAGCAAATGGCTGACAAAACAACGTAAAAATCTTTGGACTACAAAATAAATTTAGAAATGGGAGCTTGAATTTTGATACCAATTGGGTAGAAAAGAAAAGGCAACCAAGAGATCAGAATGGAACTGATACACACACACATTCCTCCCCACCCCACCCCCACCTTTGCCTAGAATAAAGTCAGAGAGATTAATAGTCAACCTCATCAGTAATAAGATGCTCTGTTTAAAAAAAAAAAAAAGGTGTATTGGTACAGGAAATAGGGGAACTTGTCTGTCTTGGTCTGGGCTAAACACTGAGGCTGGAGGAGGGCATCCACAAATGTGTCTACAAAATGAAAATTCGTAATCCTAGGCATGCTCCAGCACAGATAAAGAACTTGAATTTATACTACCAACACAACCTTCAAGACCTTCAAGACAAGAAATTCACATAAACTGCATCCACAAGCCAGTGAGACTTCTGGAACCCAAGGCAGATGGAGGGAACAAGAATTTGGGGAGAGGGAGACATTCCTTCAACCCAGGCAATGTGGGATTCCCATAAATAAAGCACGAGTGGCAAGCTGAGAATAAAAACTTACCAACTCTATAAGCAAATAACCCATGACAAGTAAAACCAGGAAACACAACAATTATTAGGATTTTCTTCCAAGAATTTTAGATGAAAAAAATGATCAAATACAGGTTATAAAACAGCAAAGATTAAAACCAACAGCCTTAAAAGAAGAAGCTGAAAACACAAGACATTATGGAAAAGACAAACATTTATGAGAACAAAATTTAAAAAGAATTTTTTAAGAAATATACAAGAACTGGAGAATTAAGCATCAAACTAAACACAACTAAAGAAAGAATTAGTTAAGTAGAAATAGAGAAATGAAATTATGCAAAGATTCTATACAAAGAATTAATAGTATGGAAAACACAAGACATTAAATGAAAAATAAAACAAGATCTAACACAACATAAGATGAGTTCTAGAAGAAAAGATAAGGTAAGCAGTTTAAAATTTAAAGCAATAAAGGCTGAGAGGTTTCCAGAACAAGTGAAATACCTATATCTTCATATTCAGGAATCATGAGCCTTAAGCAGGGTTAAGTAAATAAAAAGCCATATTCTATATACATCATTTTAAACTGGAAAATACTTATTTAAAAAGCAAGAAGGATAAGGCACTTTACTTAAATAGGAACAAAATTAAATGGAACAGACACAGAAGAAAGTGAAATATCTTCAAAGTGCTAAAAGAAAATTACTATCAATCCAGAATTCACACCTAACTAAATTCTCATTCAAGAGAAGGCA